AAGGTCGTGAATAACGGCTTTGACGCTCACCATATTCGCTTAGATTTAAACCCGATTGGGGATAAATGAGAGTGATTTACCAAAAATTGTCAGAAAACAAAGTCAAGTTGAAAGACGAATTAGTGGGCTGACACAAGATAGCATCGGCTTAGCTCAAAACACAAAACAAAAGGGAGCGTTACGAACATGTATTGAAAACGACTGTGGGAATAATACAATTTATTGAAGCATTCCAGGTTTAACAGACAAGGGTTTGAAATAAGTTCAAGGTTTGTAAAAATATGGACTGATGATTGGAGTTGGATGCAGAAGACTAGCCAAGTAAGACCCACCGGTATGATCAAACAACTCTATAAGGATTGGCTAATGTTTGGTTTTGAATAATAGCCTCATCAGTCAAGGGTATGAAACAAACACCTCTGAAGAGAACAGAAGAGTAGAATACTTTTCTACTGGGCATTAATATGATCAGTCTGAAATACTTCAAATGCGATGTGGTTCACTTGTAATGGAGATGATTGCCCTGGGTAGGAAAGTGAATTTGAATATGGAAGCTATAAGTCATTTACTCGGGCCTACAGCCCAGAGAGCACATTACGATTATGCAATGGGTTTAACATATTGGCTTTTGAGAATGGCTGCGAGTGTTTTGTGACTGGTAGGCGGGAGGGACGAAGGAATAATGAATGCATTATTGAGAACACCTGCATTGACGTACCGCTCTAATTTCGTTACTTTTTTCACAGANATGGTTTGCCACATGTGCCTCCGTTGCCTTGATCAGCCTGGACAGCTGAAAAATTACGGGACCTGTATAAACGTTCCCTTTCATTTTCGCAACAACTCTGATGTGTGTGTTGGGAGGAGGCTAGCTCTCAGTTGAACATATGCAGAATTTGAATTGAAGAATATTAATTATGAATAGCATTAACTGTTCAATTATATAGGGAAACACGTGGGATGTCATAGATGAGAAGATGCCGATGGCGAATAAGCCAATCTAAGGGATTCATTAAAAATCGGAATACTTATGACCGGGAAGTTGAGAAAGCGCATTGTAATGTTAATTATAATGAGAACGCCAATTCCAAATTTTTTTAATCAGATCATCGGTGAAATTCTAAGCCGTTTATTAATAACAAAGCGCATCCTATATTCAGTATGCGCCAGACGTCCTGTACGCAAACTTTACACTAGTAAAACTAGACAGTGTTGAAAACGGCGACTGAATGTTGATGCCGATCAGTGGGAAAGTATGCATATTGACCACGGGGGTGATGGCGTTGGTTGCAACTGCATACTGCACCGGAGTCACACAAGTTAGCAAGTGATCAAGAGTTGTACGGGTGAATTCCAGACCAACTATAGGATCTAACAAATGATGAAGAACCATAATAATGATTGAACCTATTGAAAATTCCATATGCGGTAGTGAAGGTTCATATATAGTGGAAACAATAAACTGTCGGAGATGCCGCGTGTTTAACCTCAGAGAGGTTGATGGCATTTAAATGACATCATTCTTATTTATTGTTTAGAAGTAGGAGTATGAGGTACTAGCAACGAGGCAAATGCGGTCTAGGTTGATTGATAGTCATTCGGAGATGACAGTTTCAGTGGGTACTCATTGGCTAGAAAGATCATTGTGCTTGAGCATTACGTAATTGTTGGTTGACCGTTAGCGTGTCCGTTATTGAAACAACGAAGTTGTTAATTTTTTCAACTGTTTCCAAACCTAGGGCGAACGGCGAAGACCTTGGTTACAGGCAATCTGTAACTTATCAATTGTGCTTCATTTCTGTTTTCCAATTAACGATTTGAAAGGTGTAACAGCAAATGAGTAGATAAACATTTTTCTTCCCTGCTATCACGTATTTACTCTCCCCCCCCCCCGGGTCACGGTGACCGGGAGTGCCGCAATACTGCTTACACCGCTTAGAATTTGAAACTATAAATGAATTAATAGAAATCACACTCATCTACGACTGGCGTTTTTAAATTCCAATATATATATATATCTATTGACTCAAATAATTAGTTGCAATTTGTAAATTCACATCACACTGTTTTGATCGAGGGACCAAAATGCTGGATACTGAAGAATCTTTCATTAACTCTGGTTGATACTGTAAATGTTGATCGGTGACACGTGAGACTTTCGCAGTGTGAGCATCAAACGTTACATGTGTTGCCAACATTAGCCAATAAGTTCCTTATCAATGTCGATGAAAATAACAAGTGTCTTAACATTAGCTCTTTTCCCAGGGGCTAAAAAAATCAATGTGCATTTGTTCATTTAATCTACTGCATCAAAC